TAATATAATATAATATAATATAATATAATATAATATAATATAATATAATATAATATAATATAATATAATATAATATAATTTAATATAATATAATATAATTTAATATAATATAATTTAATATAATTATATGTATCTAATAACGTATCGATCTATTTGTGCAATTAAAATCGGCTTTTAATCTGAAGAAAGAAAAGTGGGCGATGAGCTAGTTTATTTTTCAAGAGTCGTATACGAGAAACGGGTTTCGACTCCAGACAAAATTGTGATTGTTGTATTCTACGCGTCGACTCGAGGTTGCCTGTTACCCGAATTAACTCGACGCGGCTATAATACGTCACGAGGATTATGAAAACGCAATGCTCGAAGAGCAGAATTTGATTACGAGTCGTCTTGTCGATAGAGTGGGGGAAGGGGACCGCGGGCCGTGAACGCGAGTGCGTCATACTTTCGCTCATTCACTCGGTAGCCTCGGATCGCGAAGGGCCTGTTGACGTTATTTTCGGTCGATCAGTTTAACCTATCGCTGTTCGGAAAATTGTATTCTTGGGGTATTATATCGTTGAGATGTTCAGTCAGTACGTCTATTCGAACGCTGAAGTATTTAATTTGCTAGCATATTTGGTCGTCGAGAATTGAACTGAATCGAAGCTCAGATTTTCCTTGAAAATTCTGTCGCATATACCCGTCGTGAGTTTCGCTGCTAATACCCGAACAAGTAACATTTAAGAAGGAAAGAATCAGTTACGTCAAACAAAGATCGCTACGTGGTACGTTGTAGTCCTTTCTCTACTCATCCTAATCTATTATCATATTGTCTTGCGATTGAATTTAATCGAATTTCGTGTTATTGTTACAGATCTTGAAATCGCATGCGGAACTGGGATCGGGAAGCAACGCGGTCAAGCTTCGTTCTGACTCCCTTTTGGGTCTCTGAAGCAGCAACCTCCTCGCGGTGAGACTCGGGCAGTCGGTATCATCCTCGGTCCATAAATGTTGCAAATTGCGAGGATGATACCGAGCTAATAGCTGCTAATTATGAATTCTTTTTGATATTGCAAAATAGAGTATCAAACTGTAACAAATGTGTTGTGTATGATTTTTAAATAATTAGATAAATTAAAGTGTGTGGATTTATATTTTCAGTTCAGGGCTCGGAACAAGATTTCGTCTGCAAATTGTTGAAATTGGTATTCCTCCGATCGGAGGTCCCGCAGGGAGGGGCCCGTGAGTGAGTACGGGGGGTAGCGTAAAACGGAATTTATAATTTCAATTATTTTTAATTATAGTTTGTAAGCTAATAAAACAATATAATAAGGAAAAGTTGGAAGAAGCGAATTTATTTCGAAAATTTATTTTGAACATGTAGTGTGAAAATGACATTTACTATAAGTAGTAACTTTTCCAGACGTAACATTATATTTATTATATTTATTTTTCTGTATAATGTGATAATATGTGAAATCTCTACGATCAGTGTGTATACAAATTTAATCGCAATTTCAAATGATGTATAGAACTGAATATTCTGGTCACGTATATGAATATGGACATAACTGCTTGTAACTGCTAATCGTTCTCATACGTCCGAAAAAACAAACTAAAGGACTACTTGCATAAATAGGAAAATTACATATGCAGATATATGCAGACGCATACTGCCGATGAGCGAATAGGCATCCGACATAACCGCAACCCAAGATTCTTGGCATCTAGGTTTAGGTTAGGTTTATTATATGTGTTATATATATATTTTAATAGATTTTCTTACATATGCTCTCTTATTACATCACATCACATTATCACTTGATGTATTTTATGACTAGACGCTCTAATAAATTTTTCTGTACAACGTGGTAACAAAATATAAGCTAGTATAATTTAGAGTTTTTGAGATCCACAATCTATTGGGAATCTGTATTATATTATATTTCACGTTAATAGTCCTACTTAGGCGCCACCTTATAAGCACCAGTATAACTAAACTTGTCAAATTTTTTGCTCTATATTATCGATATCATGAATTTTGACTACTTTAAATCAGCATCTTTCTCGATATTCATTGGTATCATTCGAAAGAGGAAGGTTCAATGCAGCGCGCGAATGTCACACTTTCATCGACAAAAATCATCCAATGGTATAAAACTAGTTGGATTCTACGGCTTCGGTTCAATCAATTTTTACCTTTCTTCCTAACACATATATTACCAAATATCTGCATAATTCTCGTAAAGTCTGACATTCGCGCAATGAATTTTTTTTCCAATGAATGATACCAATATACATAGAAAAAAATGCTGATTTACGATAATTAAGTGTTACCTCGTACATTCATATTTTCGTCTCATTTTGTCGGTAACTGGTAAGGAAACCGTGAGATTGGTAGACAATATTATCAGCAGTTGATTTTGGCTAACAGTTCGAGTTTTTCGCCACTACGCTAAGCGGTGTTGTGCGGAGCCTCGGATAGAGCTTCGATATTTTGCCACGAGGGGCGCCACCAGTGCTAGATTTTAGTTTACTCAATCGATCACTAGGGCCAACAGTTTAAGCGTTTTACCACGTGGATTGGTGCTATAGGGACGTTTGTAGACAACATGAAATACGTGCCAAAATGCACTTTGCTTCCTACGATTAAAAGTTGCAATATTCAATATTTGAACGTGAAATGAAAAATTCTATAATAATTGATCAGTTCTAACTCGGATATGCACAAATTTATTATAGGCATGTTTGGAATTTCTTCCGTGGTTGTCAATTATAAAATTGCCAATACATTTCCCAGACAAAACAGATTTCATTTATAATAAACAAAGTAAAGGCCTATAATTAAGACCTCGTATTCACTACACTTTTATTCATTACTTTTATAGAAATTGTGTTTTTTGCATGGTGTTATTGATGAAAAGTATAATATCAACTCTGCAATGATTTTTAATTGAAAAATATTGTATTATAATAATAAAAATATTGTATATATAATTTTTGTATGCTTGAATCCAATGAAGTTGGTTGAAAGTTCTCGTCGTAAGACGAAATTTTAATAACCTTCACGCTGACACACGCTTAACATTTCCAGCCAATTTGAATAAAATGTATCTGCACTCTAACACCATGCCGGTTAAATAATAATCTAAAAATGTGGTACGTCTTCCATATGTCGCTGGAATAAAGTTCGATTCTAATACGCGGGTTAAACGATGGCGAGGCCACCAAAGAAAAAGTTACCGCCGAGAAGACGAAAGCCGAAGGTTAAAGATCCGGAGAGGGAGGAAGAAACTAGGAAAAGGGTTGCAGCGATCGAGGCGAAGAGACAAAAGGTTATAGAAGAAGTTAAACAATCGTTGTACGAAAGACGAATGGACAAAATTGCAATAGAAAGGGGCCGTCTTGAGAAGGAAGAAAAATTTCGCGAGAAGGATGCAAGGGATGCCAAGAAAGAAGGGAGTGAAAAAATAATGTTACAGGTCTCCCGAGCCAGATTACATGCACTAACAATAGCAACTTCCTTAATAACATCCTAACGATTTTTTAGTCGTCCAGTCTTTCTTAACGCTACTTTCACCGATCTTTGGTATACAACTATTTTAACTAATTTTATAATCAAGAAGATTATATAGAAAATTCTTCAATTGAAGAAAAGTGATTAAACTTAGCAAATAATTTTACATGAAATTTTTAAAACCCTTCTTGCAATCGCTTTGTTAAAAATAGCGTTAAATTATGTGCAAATGATTGCAAATGATTGCTACAATAATTGCAACAGACGAGAGCGTTTCAATGATATGAATATTTTGCGCACAATATGTATAGGCATTCTTGAATTTGTTTTCAATCTTTATACTGTCTTAAAATTGAGCTGCTCGCCTATCTCAAGACTAATCCTTCGCGTTGTTGACTTTTCTCCGCAAGGATAGATTCGCGACGACCTAAGCAGAGTCGTGGAGACGGGCATAAAGTGCGTGTACACATCCGTCATTATACCGGAAAAAGTGAAATACGACGGTAAATCGGTCCTGTCGATCAAGGGGGTGAAATACAAGGTGAAGAAAAACTTGCATATAGTGGGATGGGGCAAAGAAGCAATCACGATGAGCGCCGCGTTCGAACGGATCGTCGGCAGACAATTGAAAAAAGGATGGGTGATCGTGCCCCGTAAATCGATTTTCCGGATGTGGAGTTACCCGGAAGCGTTCCCAAGGTTGGACAGTGCCATTTCCTACGTCGAGGCCGGGACAAACGGGCTTCCGGACGAGAAGTCCGTCGCGACCACGAAGAAAATTCTTCACTACTGCAAGAAACTGAAAAGGAAGGATCTGCTAATCGTGATGCTATCGCAAGGAATCGACGATCTGCTCTGTTGCCCGCGGGAAGAAATTGGGCTCAGGGATAAACTTCGAGCATTAAACAGGCTGAAGATAGCCGAAGCAACTCCCGAGGAGATTAATACCGTAAGAAACAAGTTGTCTGCCATTCGAGGTAAATGATTCGAGGTTTTCATTTGCATACGCAATATTTGTGGCCGGTCATCATCTTACTCGCTCTGTCCATGCTAACTTTCGTATCTATAATCTTAGTTTCACGCACTCTCCTAAAATTTAATAATTTAATAGTATTCTCTAACTAATATTCTCCTCAATTCTCCCTAATCGACGCTTAGACTTTATACAAAAATCGAAAATTTGGGAAGAGTCGATGCGATTGACATAACCTTGACATAACCTTGCGGCTCGTTTTTATAGCTTCCGATTGTCAAGAACTATATTTTCGACCTATGTTTACTAAAGCTTTTTTACTCAGTACAATGTATCCTATATATGTATAATATTATTATATATATACAGGGTGTCCCAAAATTATGGTATTTCCAGGAAATGAGGGGTTTCTGAGGTCATTTGAAGTAACTTTTTCCTTAGCGAAAATGCGATCCGCGGTTTCGTTTACGAGTTATCGACGGAAAACAGTGAGAGGCGAGCTTGACTGGCGCGACGCGGCCCAGCCAACGAGCGGTCGGAGCCCTGTCTCTTATACACATCTAGATGTGTATAAGAGACAGATATTCAATATATATATCCGCGGTTTCGTTTACGAGTTATCGACGGAAAACAGTGAGAGGCGAGCTTGACTGGCGCGACGCGGCCCAGCCAACGAGCGGTCGGAGCCCTGTCTCTTATACACATCTAGATGTGTATAAGAGACAGATATTCAATATATATATCCGCGGTTTCGTTTACGAGTTATCGACGGAAAACAGTGAGAGGCGAGCTTGACTGGCGCGACGCGGCCCAGCCAACGAGCGGTCGGAGCCCTGTCTCTTATACACATCTAGATGTGTATAAGAGACAGATATTCAATATATATATCCGCGGTTTCGTTTACGAGTTATCGACGGAAAACAGTGAGAGGCGAGCTTGACTGGCGCGACGCGGCCCAGCCAACGAGCGGTCGGAGCCCTGTCTCTTATACACATCTAGATGTGTATAAGAGACAGATATTCAATATATATATCCGCGGTTTCGTTTACGAGTTATCGACGGAAAACAGTGAGAGGCGAGCTTGACTGGCGCGACGCGGCCCAGCCAACGAGCGGTCGGAGCCCTGTCTCTTATACACATCTAGATGTGTATAAGAGACAGATATTCAATATATATATCCGCGGTTTCGTTTACGAGTTATCGACGGAAAACAGTGAGAGGCGAGCTTGACTGGCGCGACGCGGCCCAGCCAACGAGCGGTCGGAGCCCTGTCTCTTATACACATCTAGATGTGTATAAGAGACAGATATTCAATATATATATCCGCGGTTTCGTTTACGAGTTATCGACGGAAAACAGTGAGAGGCGAGCTTGACTGGCGCGACGCGGCCCAGCCAACGAGCGGTCGGAGCCCTGTCTCTTATACACATCTAGATGTGTATAAGAGACAGATATTCAATATATATATCCGCGGTTTCGTTTACGAGTTATCGACGGAAAACAGTGAGAGGCGAGCTTGACTGGCGCGACGCGGCCCAGCCAACGAGCGGTCGGAGCCCTGTCTCTTATACACATCTTCGTTGGCTGGGCCGCGTCGCGCCAGTCAAGCTCGCCTCTCACTGTTTTCCGTCGATAACTCGTAAACGAAACCGCGGATATATATATTGAATATTATATTATATTATATCTCCATTATCGTTAATGATACGCGGAAATGCTTGAGGAACAAATTGTTTCGTTTATAGGGACACATGTGGTGGTAGAAATCATTTTTTTGTAAATGTCATATTTTTTGAGATTTCAAGGTCATCGATGTTTTTTCAAATGGGATTACATATTTCCATCATTATATCATGATAGCTAAGATCAAGACGAATCTAATAACCTATAATACCATGACCTTCATGTGACCTTGGGTACGAAAAATAAAGAAATTTTTAGACATGGACAATACGTTCATTGATACCAAATGCCATTTTAATATGTATATAATATATATATATATATATATATATTAATTATATGATATTGAATGGTTTTTTTGAAAATCCTGTACACGTATCCACAGGAGGAGATCTAGCACGGTTCGCATACCCGGCCAGAGTGATCACTCTGATCACGTCGGACGTCTCCGCGGAGCCGATGTCGCAGCTTTCTGGCGGGCCGTGCGTGTACGACCCGAAGGGCGACGCGGCACTAAAAATTTTATCGAAGTACAGGGTGCTCGAGAAACTATCTCAGAGCGTGAGAGATCTCGTCGAGGAGACCGTCCCGTGGACGATGGCGGCGGACAAGCAAGTGACAGAGCAGAAAAAGTACAAGTTCGTCCACGAATACGTGATAGCCTGCAACGCGGACGCCATGGAATGCATGGCCGTGGAGGTTTTCAAGTTGGGCCTGTTCCCGGTGAAATTGAACTCCACTTGTTTCGGCGAGGTTCAGGAGTTCGCGCGAGAGTACGTGAAAATTACCTCGCTGATGATCCTGGCGGTCGAAGGGAAGATCAATATGCTGGACATGTATCTGGACATGAGGGAGAGCTCTGTCTGCCCGTTGACCGACAAGAAGGTGCACGAGATATTCCCAGCGAAAGACAAATGGGGTTTGGGGCTGTGCCTTTTGTTGGGCGGCCGGCAAACTGTCAATCTATGCCTTCATCCCGGCAAAGGCGGTCCCAATCACGAGCTAGCTCTATACTTTTCATTATATTGGTATATGAGCACGGAGCAATATCCAATTTTGAGGGAGTACACCGTCTGGTTCCTCGGCGGCAGCTCTTACGGGAAGGACGGCAATACCGACGCAGCTGGTGCTTTCGGCTATAAGAGCCTGGCTACTGATATTTATCCGGAATACGAAAAAGCGCTGAGCGCGTATAATACTGCTAACGCGAACTGGTGGAAACTTAAAGAGGAAAGACGAAACCCGCTCGCGATAGAGGTAAACAAATTTCACGTTTTTCATGCGTCCTATGCTGTAAGAATCGACGAGCCATTTCCATTCACGATAGAAAAGTGAAACCCTTTGCGCGCGAAGCTATTTTAACCTTTTAGGTACGGCTGAATTCTGCGCGAGGCTATTTCTCTGGACGGCAGAGTCTGATATGTACTGTACAGAGTCTGATACTGTATATACAGGGTGTCCCAAAAATGTCTCGCAATCCGAAAGTGGCGGGTTCGACGGGCCATTTGAAGCAACTTTTTCCTTTACAAAAATTTTCTCCGAGGCACCGTTGACGAGTTATTAACGAAAAACAGTGACCAATGAGAGGCGAGCTCAGCTGGCGCGAGGCGATCGAGCCAATGAGAGCGGAACTGGGCTTCGTGCGCTGGTTGGCTGGGCCGTCTCGCGTCAGTCGTACTCGATTCTTATTGGTCACTGTTTTTTTTTCGTTAATAACTCGTTAACGATGCCTCGGAGAACATTTTTGTAAAGGAGAAAGTTACTTCAAATGATCGTAGGAACCACACATCTCAATTTTACGTAGATGCAAAATGTATATTTTGCAATTGTATTATGACGATAATTATTGTCTTAAATCGCGTATCTGTTTGTCCTGAACGAAATATATTTTCGATGCTGTTTCAACTCGCGTTGAAATTCAACAAGTACGCGTATTTTGTACGACGGGATACGGTTTTAGGGTAGTTCGTTGCGCCGTTGTTTTATGGTTGGTTAACAAAATTTCACGAGGATTATTTCGAAATGAGGTACCGTCATTACCTTTTTAACCGTCTCTGCTTCAGTGGCCATTAAACGAGCGGAACAAACGCGGCGCGCGTACAGAGTGATCGATTAAAAATTACATTCATTATTATATCCTCGTTACACCGCCCCTAACACTTCGTTACATTTCTTTTTATTCCCTCGTTCGCACGTTTCTGCGCCGACGTCGAGACAGAGATGAACTAAAAAAAGATTCATCGACGCACTAATTTTCAATGTGGAACATTTTCTAATCGTCGCGTCGCTTTCATTAATTCAACGTCTCGAAATCGTCGCGTTTAACGTGGAACTTCGCGAGAATTGAATGGCGCGGTCGCAATTTCATATTAAATAAACGTAGAAATGTCGTTAGATACGGTTCTTAGGATGCGAATGTGACGTGATTGAATCCCATTGTACAATGGTTCGTGCTCAAGGAACGAAATGGAAGGTATCTTCTTTTAAAAGTGAATAATGTGGATTTCCGTTCTTTGGCTATCTTGGTCATCCGAGCGAGCTTCCTTTGATTATTTTCTATGGATATATTACAAAGAACTGCAACGTTCCGTACTCGTGCGACACTGAAAACACCGACCAGCCGTGTCGTTATTCTTTTAGCACCGACCTTTCATCATAAATTGAAGACACCTTTGATGCTTTTGCGAATGAAACATTGTTATCACGGTTCCCTGGATTGTAAATTCCGAATCAATTTAGCTTTTAAATTCTTAGAAATTTATACTGAAATGATTTGATCGGATCGTCGAGGATGAAATTTGCAGGAAAGAAGGCAAAGTTGCTTGATAACTTACAAATATAAAAATAAGGATTTATTTTATTCGTCAAAGTATGCTCCCATATTGTCCATACATTTTTGCCATTTGTGTATGTTTGCCGAGTGGTAGGTTGCTCAGGCCGGTGGTATAAAACCCTGGTGGACGAGAGTCAACGAATTCCTGGAAGGTCAGTTTTACAGCATTGTCGGAATTAAATTGTTTTCCTATTAAAAAGTTGTCCAAATTGCGGAAGAAGTGGTAGTCAGCAGGGTCTAGGTCTGGCGAGTATGGATGATGATGAAGGAGTTCCAACTCCAATTGCTGTAGTTTTGCCACAGTCATTTGTGCAGCGTGTGGTCTGGCGTTATCATGTAATAAGATAAGAGTCGATCTGTTGACCAATCCAGGCTGTTTTTCTTGAAGTTTTTGTATCATTTCGTTCAGTCGATTGCAGTATATTCCTGCTGTGATCGATGAGCCAGGTTTCATGAAATCATAATGGATCACATCTGCGCTAGACAGGTGTGATAACATTTGATTCTGGGCGACCTCGTGGCTCATTTGTGAGGTCAACATTACCTGTACGAAATTTGGCGAACCAATTTGATAGTGATTGTTGCGTAGTAACACTAGAGCCAACTAAACTATCGATGTTTCGCACGATCCGCGATGCTGTAGATCCACGTAAGAACTCCTACTTCATAATAGTACGAATTTCCGATCGTTTCATTTTCAACAAAATTAATTTTTAAAAAAAGTTTTCAATATTTTTTAGAGCTTACAATGATTTCTTTAAACAGGCAAGATGTGTAACTTTCCAACAAAAAAAATAAGCTGTTAAAGTTGACAATATTATAATACAAATTTCATCCTTGCCAATCTAATAATTAACCATTTGCACTCGAGTGGCGACTTCGAGACGACGCTAAAAATTACTACGCTATTTTCAAAAGAATTTCTACATTATTATATTTTTCTGTATTCGATAAATTGTCGAATAATAGAAGCCTTCTATAAGCATAAACATTCAATTTCATATGTAAAAAGAAACAAATAAAAACAATCGTAACAAATGGAAATAATGTAGGTTAAAACAAATGTCTACATTTTTGGAGTTAAAATAGTCTCGAGTGCAAAGGGTTAACAGTAAAATATCATTCGTTTTTCAGCGAGCCCACAGAGAAATGGCTGATCTGAAAGTTGTGAAAGACCAATTCGAGTCTATTATGCCCGCGAGAGTCTTGGCACAAAACAATACGAACACGATGTTTTTGAGCATCAACGACGAAGACGAATTGTTGCTGCTGAAGACTGGCAATTATTATACTTTCACGAACGTTGGGGACCTCCATATCATACGAATCGTCCGTTTCCAGTGTAATTGTAACGGTGTTTGTCATGGACCGGAAGACAGGATATGCCTCGATGAAGAATGCCCTGTCAATCTTGCAATGACCCCTGGCGAACGAACGAAAACGCAGTACTGTTGCCAACTTGGTAAAGAGAAAGAAGTAACCGATCTGTGAAAACGAAAGTTAATCGACGCATTAATTCTCCGCTGAAATGTATTCGTATTTTAGACTGTACAAGGTGTCCCAAAAATGTTTCGCAATCCGAAAATGAGAGGATCCTGAGGTTATTTGAAGTAACTTTTTCCTTAGCAAAAATTCAATCCGCGGCTTTGTTTACGAGTTATTAATGAAAAACGTTGACCAACGAGAGGCGAGATCAACTGGCGCGTAGCGGCCGAGCCAATGAGCGGAACTGAGCTTCGTGCGCTCGTTGGCTGGGTAGTCTCACGCCATTCGAGCTCGCCTCTCATTGGTCACTGTTTTCCGTAAATAACTCGTAAACAAAACCGCGGATTGCATTTTCGCTAAGGAAAAAGTCACTTCAAACGATCTGAGGAATCCCCCATTTGCGGATTGCGAGACATTTTTGGGACACACTGTACATCCGTAAATTCTGAGCAAATACGACTTCAGTAATTTCTGTCGCATAAATGAATTTGTAATACAATATTCTTCGGTCTACGACGTTTCTAATATCTTCAATATACAGGGTGGTCCACCTAAATAAGGCTACCTAAATATCTCTTCTAATTATGGGGGTTCAAAAAATATTTTGTACGCTATTTGAACGATTTGAGAAAACCATCGTATTTCAAAAATATTTTTTCTCCAAGGTAATTTTTTTCAGAGTTTACAAGGTCATCGATATTTTTTTGCGTATAATTGTATAATTTTTTGTATTGAATTGTGTAGCCGACGTAAAAATATGTTTAGTTATGTACATTACATGTCCTTGAAATGACCTTCGAGATCAAACATTATTTTTTTGAAATTGGAAACGACAAATTTTTGTCTATCGAGATTTTAGAGAGACGAAGACGTCGTTCGGGAATCTGTAAGTATAAATAAACATGTTATCACGAAATCCTATCACGAAATTTATAAGACTTTTTTACAAACCTATTTTTTGGTTCCACATTGATACATTTTTTAAAACGTAGAATAAGAGACTTTCTGGCTCTTTCAAATGTTGCCCGTTCAAATCTCGTATTTACTACTTTCAAAAAAATGTTTGACTATCGTTCCATATGTATAGTAATGTCTCCCTAATTGACGCTCAGATAGTGCACAAAAATGGGCAATTCGGGAAGTGGAGACACGATTATTCGAGGCATGCGGCTCGATTTTGTAGTTGTTGACAATCGGTAACTATAAAAACTCGTAAACTAAAATAATCGTATCTTCTCTTCCCAAATTGTCCATTTTTGTGTACAATCTGAGCGTCGATTAGGGAAAATTTACTGTAGTAGGAGCTTGTGGCACGCGGCCGAAATTTGTCGTTTCCATTTAATTTTTGATCTCGAAGGTCATTTCAAGGTGATATCTGAACACATTTTTACATCAGTTACACGATGCAATAAGAAAAAATTATACAATTGTACGCAAAAAACCATCGATCACCTTGAAAACTTCGAGAAAAATAACCTTAGAAAAAAATCTTTTTTGCAATACGATAGTTTTTCCAAACCATCGAACCACTGAAATAGCAGAAAAATTTCTTTTTTTGTAGCCCCATAATTAGAGGAGATATTTAGGTGGCCTTATTTAGGTGGACCACCCTGTATAAGATATATCTCCAATGTACGAACAATAAAGAGTGCAGATCGAATTAACGTGTATCGAAGATCCTTGCGTTACCCTTAAACTTCCTTCGAGATCCGTCGTTTCTGCGAGATTCAACGTCCTTCGAAAAATACATTTCGCTTATATCCGGTGATGAATGCTCGAAGTCCATTTTCTGGAAAACGGTGCTTCTCGGACTGAATTTCGAGCGCATAGATAGAATTGAAGATTTATTCGAAACTCGCGCGGACAGTCTCCCGAATTTGTCTTCGTAAATGCAAATACGTGCGAACGTTGGCTGTGTAAAAATCATATTTTATGTTTATGCACCGCATTAAAATGCTAGCGCAATACACGGCGCAGTATATTACTTCGAATAAGAGGAAAACCCATTAATTTCTGCGCCCGAGGATTTTTCTTTCGTCCGGACAGATCAGCGTGAATTATACAGACCTCTCGTTGCGCGGCGGCTTCAATCAAGGCAATCTGTTGAACGGATACTTCCCGAACTTCATCGTTTAAACTTGTCGATACGCCCGGGGCGGAATGATGTCTATTGAGCGTTCGGTTTTTCGAGGAGGAATGAATGGAATGAAAATCCCGAGAAGCTCATTTCGCTCTTTCTTAACGTAATAGAGATCTTCTAGGGCAGCCATGTCCCATGGGTTCGCTACCAATATTGTTCAACAAAGCCGCGGGAATGGACTCGACCAGCTCAATGACACCTTGCCGCTGCACAGAGCGGCTCTTTCTCTCTCTCTCTCTCTCTCTCTCGCTGTCTTCTTTTTTTAGCATTCCTTTCTGTCTAAAGTGAAAATATTCCCCCGGGGACGTCCGCTTGTCTGCGCGCCCCGCGACGAAATCAAAATTTTTCCGGGGACCAGTCGCAGCTTCGCGAAACGAAACCAAACGAAATTTCGATCTTTTCGCAAGGATGCTCGTGCGCGAACCGCGAACGTTTCTGCGTCGACAGATGCAACTCGTCGCGCTATATTTTCGACGATATTTTAACCCTTTCACTGCAGCGTACTGCAGTCCTATAACATAATTATGGGACACCCTGTGTACGTGTTTCGGAGTCGAAGGATTAAACTTAGAATTTAAATGCTCCGATGTAGAAAATATATTTCTCGAACGCCTTTAAGTAATTTTGCGATCCTTCGTTAGAGTCGTGATTTCCTTTTAGAAAAACTGGTCTTATTTAATGTATTTTGTTATTTTATTATTATTATTTTTTATTATTATTTATTATTGTTTTATTATTATTTTATTATTATTATTATTATTATTATTATTATTATTATTATTATTATTAATCATTAAGTATTTTGTTCATTTATTTAGACTCCTCGCATTTTTGTAAGCTGTTCAGATCTTTAGGAATTATTTAAACTTACGATTTTCATTTTTCTTTCTTCGTGTGATCTCTGATTTATATTTTCTTTTCTATATTCTCCATGACTCGGGACATTTTGACACCAAGTTTGTCGAGATTTTTTAATTTGCGACGGCTAAAATTATAAGGATACATCTACAAGGAATTTATTCGATAAACTTGTTACATTGAACATATCTACAGGGGCCCACAAAAGTGTCGTATACCTTTTACAGCGCAATAACTTTTTCAAAACTGAACTATATGTCTTGAATTGTTTTTTAGATGCTAGAGGGTTGTTTGTTAGAAAAATAAAAAATAAAAAGAAATCCTCGTTTTTAATTTTTTTTATCTGAGCTTACAAACGAAAATTTTAAAAATACTTTTTGTAGATTTCGGTAACTTATATGTGTGCTGAAGATTTGATCGAAATCGATTAACCCAAAGTCGAGCTACAGGCGTCGAAGGATTTTAAAAACTGCAGATTTCTTACAGTTTTTGGTCAAAATCGTAATAAAACTGCGATTTTTCCGATCTTTAATTTGTTGCAACTCGCAACAATGTGAATGCATACGAGAGGCATTTTTTAAATTTCCGTTATAAGTTCATATAAAAAAGTTAAAAAACTAACGATTTTCATTTCTTTGTCATTCCAAGTAATAACATAATTAAAAAAAGAAAGCATTTCAGTCGTCGTCTAGTAGACCAGTCCCTCTATCAATCAAAAAGAAAATTTAAATCATTTAGTTTCATTGAAAAATAGTTATTACATTTGAAAAGGTGTACGAACCCTTTTGCGGGCCACACTGTACGTTATAATTAAAATCCGAATAAGTATCTGCTTGTTATTTTTGTGAAGCAACGTAAGATAGCTGCCGTCAGTGCTTTCTAAACCGAATGCTGTAAAGAGAACAGTGTTACCAATTTTTAGCGTCGACACGAACGCGTCTCGCATAAATTTCATTGTTAGACATCTTTTTATTTCGCATCGAACGTAACTGTAATAATGCATCGGTTCCAGTGAAAGCACAGAGTTTACCATCAATCAAACGATAAGATCGGGAGACGAGGCGAATGATCGTGCCGAAGGAAGAAGCGTCTCCGACGGTAAGAGTGTATGAAGTATGAGGTGTATAATGATCCACGAAATCTTGATTAAGCATAAAGCAAGGTATATTTCATGCGGCGCGGGGGCAAGGCAGCCGGGAGGAGGTATCATCGTAGATTTGCATGTCTCTCTGCAGAGAAGCCGCGACTAAATATGCACCGCTCGTTACTCAACCAACCACCACGCACCGTCGGCGAACCTTCGCGAGAGTTTCTACCGTGCTTACACGCACTACGTCCTTTCGACGGTGTTACACGATTCCGTGTTGAAGCGCCTTAATTCACGCCGGTTTTATTACTCGCGGCTTGACATTTATCGCACGAAATTATATTGAGATTGTTTTTGCCCTTCTTTCTGTTCCACGCTGTCGCGGAATACATACCCGGGTTCTCGTTTGCCCTTAAGTACCTAAGAGAATGTACCTAATTTCCACTTCTTTATACTTCGATTTTCATGGTAGTTGATCGTCGCATACGCGGATGTTATCCATTTATGTCAGAATTGGAGTAGATCCTATTTTATATCTTGGGTACGTCGAGTATGGCAAAGATAAATAGATCGGATACGAAATAAGGGAACATATTTGAAGAATTTAAGTATAGCGATGCGTTATCGTCAATCAAGTAGCTCGCATTTTGTAATTAATACAGTCTACTCGTTATTATGTATCGGAAAATTTTGAGTTTTACAACTAGTTTGAAAATACGCAACAGCGAACACACTTAAAGAATTTAGAAATATTGTTGCATTATTTCAAGCTTGATGAAACTATTGAAAAACAAAATAAATGTTTATGTAATTAGTGCACTCCACTATCTTGTAATTAGTGCAGACTATTCTTATTATACATAAAGGCCCGTGGTCTATTTATAACTGCTTTATTAAATGCTAGAATGTCGCATGACATTTAAAGATTCATGGAGAATTCTGCGACGGAAAAAGTACCGACGCGCATTCCGTAACACGAAAACGCTGAAGTTACTAGCGCGAAGTCGAATTAGTTATGGGGGTAATTATGAAGTCACGACTCAAAT